TCCTAAATGGCCAGCACGCTTCGTAATTAATGATTTGCCGCCGTGTGAGAAAAGAAAAGAAAACAAAAGCGTTTTTATATTTCTAGGCAAAGTTAAACAAAGTCAGAGCAGTTAGCCGTTAGCTAGGTTGTGTCTCCGCCATTTGTTGGGTTATTTGTGCACACACACACATGTATGCATGTGTTCAGTCTTTGTAAGGAGAAGAATCAGAAAAACATTTACTGAGTAAATTTTTTGAAATGACATGACAAACCAGACCATTTACGTACAAAATGTGGTGGTTTAATAATAGATTCCACTCAATAACGTGATCCTGTATCTTATATTGTGTATTCGAAAAAACTTATTGGCACAATTGGCAAATCATATTAAATACAGCTTATCAGGACTTAGGTTGCTATTTATCGCAGTATAGGTACATTCGGGAATCGCTTTTAACATGTCACAATCCTGTCACATGGATTGTTAATAATTGGATGTGTTTCTTCTAGTCGGAACTGCCTGTCAATGACATGCAGTGTGTGAGAAAAGGAAAACTGTCAAGTGTTTATGTAGACCTGAAAAAAGTACTTTTAATATATACTTTTCATAAACAAATACTATATTTGTATTTTTATCACATTTAATCTACGTGTCGAACCAGAAAATAGTGAAACTTATACACGCTTGGCCGATTCAGCTGGCCAATGTGGGAAATAATAAATCCAATATGAATCAAGTTGGATTAACTGCATGTTGAAGAAGGGATCAAAGCTACGCTGCCAAAGTTCCCTAAGCTTCTTTTTTTTCTTCTTCTTTTCATTTGCTTTTTTTTTTGAAAAATCTCAATAACGGTGAAATGGAAGCACCAATTAATTCTCAGTGTTGGCATGCTTGTTCGGGATACCGTAGTATTGTGTAGTTGCAAAATAGTTAGGTTTTTTAAGTCTTTTAAAAACAATAAGGGATTAAGCCTAACTATTTTGCAACAAAAAAGGAAAATTTAGTTGTATTTGATATTTGATAATGATAAAAACATTGTTTACAAAATATTCACATTCAGTTGTGACAAAAATGCTTATTACAACGTATGTATTGGCAAATTTTCCATATTGTGATGATTTAAATCTTGAAATATATACAGAACTCGGTTTTAAAAATAAATCTAATGCCTTCATCTAGTTGCCGCTTTTTTGTCCTATTTATTTATTTATTTAGAAAAAGCCAATTAATTAAATAAGTTGTTGCATTTGTTATGATAGAAGTCCATACAGGATTTCTTTCATACCGTTTTCTCAAACTTAACCTATTTTGTATGCAGCTCTACTTCCAAATATTTTATGCATGGCCATTTGGTATATATCCGGACAGCTACAGCATTGCAATAAGACTTGTACGTGGGAGTTACTTTTGACTTTTAAGGCTCTTGTCTTGATTGGCCTTCCAAACATATTTAATTCCTTCTTATTTCGTAAGCCCCAGGCATAATAACTCATGGTATGATCATATATAAGATGAATTAATTTATAATGGATCAGAACATGCATATACTTTTCCTAACTTGGTCCCAAATTGACACACTTTATTTCAGTCGAAACTTGATTAGACGATCCAATATGCACCCTAATTGAACAAGAGCAGCACACATTATTTGCATAAATCTTTGGTATTAGTTGTTTATCTAAATTTTAAACGGATGAAACATGATTGGTATCTATGGTATACCTAAAACGAGTTTGACCGTATTAGGCAAATTAGCTTTTATCAACAACTCGATGCGTTTTCTAAAATGTTTTCTGTTCTAGAAGATATTACATACTTGGTGCACAATACCAAAGAGGTTCGTCCGTCGAACCGGCAAATAAACGGTGAAAAACATGATCCAAATTGGACAGTAAATTTGGGCAGATCATTAAATGGAACTATTCGACTTCTTTGTCTTCTTTTGACTGTTGTATACGGATAAACAAAAACAGTCTACCCTCCCTTACCTCCTCCCTACCCTTTCCCACTCACTATATATACACATAACATGAAACCTCAAACAAACATGAACAAACGGTAAAAAAAGAAACAACATTACGTTACTTTTTTAATAAACCAAAAATCCATTGCGGTTTTAAGTGGTTCGTGGTCTTTCGTTTAATGTGTTTCGGGAATTGTGAGTTATTTCCAACTGTATATAAGAAGAAAAAGTTTTGTCGGTAGTTTACGTTGGCTGGTCTAGTCTGGCTGTCCAATGTTGTATATGCGAGTATGTGTAGCTATGCAAGCACTTTTATTATTCCAACTTAATGCAAACGTAAAGAGGCAAAAAAGATGTTAACTTCGGATGGGCCGAACTTTTAATACCTCTGACCAATCCAAATTGCAAAAATGTGGAAGGTAACTTTTTTAGGCAACTACATTGCAAATTTGAATGAAGTTAGTGGTGATTGGTTGGAAGAAGTAGTAGAAACATTCAAAAACTCTACAAATCTCTCATCGAACCCTAAAAAATATTCCGAATGTTACCATATGTGTAATTTTTTACACATATGGGATTGAAAAAAAAAAAGTAATATCGGAAAGAAAAACTAGTTTTGATATTATATCCTCCACCATAATATGGAGGGTATATTAAGTTTGTCATTCCGTTTGTAAGTAGATTGATAAATTTTTACTCAAATGTATGTTATGTCTGCAGGACCTTTGGTATTGAAAATGGGTCATGTAGGTACACGTTTTTGGTATAGCCCCCATATAACGGCACCTCCCGATATTCGGTATTTTGATTACTTTAGCGACATTATTCACCGGAACTGTTTCAAATTTGATATTTCAAGTTCGTAATAGATACTACAGCCTAAGACAGACAATTGTCTGTACAGATCGACGTCTTCGTATATAGGTACCTCCCGATATTCGGTATTTTGATGATTTTAGGTGAAGGGTTTACAAGCTTTTTTACTTGTTTTTTAGTAATAAAGTCTATTATGGGTATGCTTACAAACTCTCTTGCAGCAAAAACAACACCACGGTAATGGCAAATTTAAGGGCTGCTGATTCTTTTCATATATTTGTGAGTAAAGACGTGGCATATTCCGATCGTGGAATGTCTTTTTTCATAAACCTGAAGACTTTCCAAAAGAATTTTAGTTTTATATAATTCTTTGGTTCCTCTTCTATTGAGCTTACGATCTCGTAACTTGGGTAACAAATGTTTTTTGTCATAGAAGTTATTTTTAAAATAACTTCTGGGGAGAATATCCCAGACAAAAACAAGGGAACTGATGAGGATTGGTGGCTCTTTCCGAAACCTAGATATTCCCTGCCTTACCCCCTGGTAAACATTACCATCGTTCTCCACTAATAAATAAACGTTGTTTTTATAAAAACAACAATTTTGCAAAAACAAAATACTACGGTATCCCGAACAAACAAGCCACACTGTTCCATGTACCGTTTAGCTAATGCTAGTCCAAGATCACGCAAGAAAATACGTCTTTTTTACCTGTAGGGCAAGCGGGGAGCATATCTTCGAAAATAATCGGTGCATTTAGCGCAGAAATCCATCTGCTTGACTTCTTTTGGAACTGCAACATGGCAACATTTTATTTACTGTATCTACGCAAATTACGTTTTAAATTGGAATGTAATAAAATGATAGTTATAATAAAAATATGTACCTTTCGTTTTGTTGTTAGAATAATTTCTGGCAATTTTTCTTCCATCCTGTTGAATGGTACTTGAATAATGCATGACAGTAGAACTACCATTTATCTTTCCTGCCCACATATGATTTAAGCGTCGCATTATCAGTGAATGCAAAAATTCAAGTGCAATGCAAAAAAGTTCAACCATACCAATTTAAAAACAAAATGTTCGCCAAATTTAGGATTTTTGTCGGAATGTAAATAATATTTAATTTTTTATGAGGTCCGTATGACAAGCAGTTACGATCGATCGTATTTATTCAAAAAGGTCATAACTTTGTTTTCTCCGATGAGAAAAGATTTGTTGTCCAGCAGTTTGTAAAAAAAACAAAATGATCGTGTCTAATTGCCAAAGAGGTCAGCTGAAAATGTGCACCTTCGGTTGCCCACCAGAACTCAAACGCCGGCCATGGTGATGGTGTTGTCCGCCAAAACAGCCGATGGTCGCTCTCCGCCCATAATAATCGACCGTGACAACAGAATAAACGCCGAATATTATCGCCTTGGCCACGCAAACATTTTGGCCACAGACCTTGGACATTCCATCGCACAAAATGAGGTTCCTCGCTTCACAATGGCCACCAAAATCTCCGGATATTAATCCGTTGGGCTATCGTGTCTGGTTGGCACTAAAAAATACCAAAGTGTCGATCACCTCAAGCACGCGCTTCGCCGGGAATGGACCAAAATCCCGCAGGGCAATATTCTGGCAGCGTGTGTCGGTTTTATTGGCCGTTTGAAGGCCATCATTCGTGGCAAAGCTGACCAATTCGAACAAATCTAAACTTATTCTAAAATTTGATGCTCTTTCCGACATTTTTTGCTTTCATAAAATAAAATTAAAAAATATGGCGTTTGACATTTTTGCAGTTTTTTATCTCAGCCTGTATATAGGACATCGGGTGGGAGTTAGAGCTATATCGCGATATTTAAATAATTCAATAATTTTAAATTAAAAATTAAAAAAACTATTGGAAGCACTCTCATTATCTGAGTTGATGTGGAAACTTTTCTCCACATTGTACCTTTGTGTTTAATTATTATTTATTTAGAACAGTGTGGCCTGTTTGTTCGGGATACCGTAGTATTTTGTTGTTGCAAAATGGTCAGGCTTTATCCCTTTATTGTTGTTTTTATAAAAACAACAACCCTCATGTATATATATATATATATATATATATATATATATATATATATATATATATATATATATATATATATATATATATATATATATATATATATATATATATATATATATATATATATATATATATATTCAGAGGTAGTACTGTTATTTAATGCAACAAATTCCACTGAACTCACCGGGGCACTAGGTTACTCTCCAATAATCCTTAAACCAATAATCCTAGCGTACGCCTTGGGCTTGCGATTTATAACGATCCCTTGAACAGACCTTCGAACTGACTCTTGATGTAAACTCCCGTCACTTAAACGGTATAATTATTTCACGTTGTAACTTTTAATTTTGTAAAATAAGAAACACTTGCACTTCTAGGTTTTGGATTTAGAAACGACCGTTACAATATGTACATTCTTCACGGTTTGCAACGAATATGCGAAGGCACCGTCGCCATCACCATCGTAAAATTAAAAATTCGACGTATAACGATGAAGCAGCACTAAATCCACTGTTGCGGACCTGCCATTCGAAATATATTATTAGTGTATTTGCTCCGAGCTGAAAACATTTGCTACTGGGGATAAACTCGATCCTTGTAGAGTAGCGTGCTGTTCGTTTGTTAGCCGTCAGCCGCGAACACCTAATAGGAACTGAAAACGAATGAATTTCCGCATGAATGTTGAGTTCGTGCGTTGGGCATTAAAATAACTGGAACTTCCAGTCAATTTCAACAACAATGCATTTACTTGGTAAGGAAAGCACCACCTGGAAATTGGTGGGGGCAAAAATATTTAGGCGCCAATACGGCTGATAAGAGCTTGCCCACAAAAGCAGGCTGTCATAACATTCGTCATGTAACATCTGTCGTCACTTGACATTGTGGGATGTTTCTCATAAAACAACAACATAAGTTGAGGTGGCCGCAATCTTGAGTTTAAACTAGAGAACTGTTTTGTTTCAATAACATTCCACCACACCACTGGTGGCAATACAACTACTCCATAAACAGACATGTCGTGCGCATGCCTCAGCCAATTTCCATGGAGAACTTCCAGTACCAGCGAACTGTTGCTTTTTGCTGGGCCAAATACACTCCTTCTCCTGCAACACTATATTCCCTTGCAATGTTAATTGCATTTTAGAAGTCGTCCGACAGCAATGGGTTTGAGGACACATTTCCACTTCCATATTGGGATAGTTTGGCAGATAGTGCTCTTCAGTGACATCCTATTTGAATTAACCCTGACTCGATTGTGTAATGTATCCTTAAGCCATTAATAACGATTCCAGGAATACGAACTGTCCCTTGAACGGTATGATTATTCCCTCAGCTTGGACACTGTGATGTCTGCAGTGACAGCTACGTCAGCTGTATTTTATTGTGTATGCATTTTGATAATCAGACTTGTTTACATATGCTTGAATTCATTAAACTTATCTAACGATACTGCCAAGAAGTTTATTTCGCATTGCCCAGTCAGTGCAGGAAGAATCTCAATCTGAATTGTTCAACTAGCAAGTTCCCGCTACTTCGTTAGTGGAATATAATTGAAATAGAAACGATTAGATTAACCGACCCACCATTCGTATTTAAAATCTCTACCAGCTCACATAATGCCAATGGTAAATGTTTACAGTATTTGAAATTCCAGTAGAATCACCTTATCTCATAATACTAATCAACATCTATTTCAGTAAGAAATTCTGACCTAGAATACCAAGGGAGCTGAATTAAGATTATTTTTTGCGCTTTTGGGTACGCATCTCCCAAAACGCTCAAGCGAACAATGATCCTCATTCTAACATTTTCAATTCTAGCGTGTATCTGTGGTGTAAATTCTGTACTCTTCGTCCCTTCCGATCTGTCAATTTTTTTAAAAATTCTCCACAAACACAACTCCAATGAACAAAATATATTTGAGTCATACACAGTACTAAAACCATCGTTGTCATTCACACATTACGACAAACGTGGAATTTTCTTATTGTGGAGGAGTAAGTGTATTGGAGTAAAGACGAAGAAATTCTGTTACTAAGAATGTTCGAATGTCAATAAATATACATTTTGAAACTATTTAATAAACAAAATACTGCATATGATTAGTTTTGATCGGAAACTACATCCATACAAACAATTAATTCTTGGAAATCTTGAAGGTTTACCAAGAATCGTCTTCGAATAATTTAAGTTTTGTTTGTGTCACTTAATCATCTTTATTCTTCTTGTCGACTTGTTGTCGAGGTCGGCACTAATTTGGATTCTCTTACATCGTTGACTGTTTATTAATTTTTTTCTAACTCTTCAACTCATTTATTAAACTGATTTGAATTTTTTATTATAATCCCGTATTTTACAGTTTTATTTTATTTTGTAATAAACGCTAAACAATTACTAGTCGACATCAAATCTCTAAAGACAAAGTCAGAACCAATACAAGTCTGCCTCATCGTCACATTTTCTTATAGAATACCAAGGAAGCTCTCAAATGGCAATATTGAAAATAAAATTCGATTCGAAAAAAAACGCCGGCGACTTAGTTCGACTATTAGATTAAAAGTATGTTTACGTACAAAATCACTACGCGGATTAACCCTTACAATTTACCACTCACAATAAATTCAAGGCATGTCACAAAAGACGATCGTTTTTGTTTTAACCTATTCAGATTCCGAATGAATGAATGATGCAACGCAGATGAATAAAAGAACGAATGAATGTGGAATCAAAACACACCGCATGATTACAAAACACTGTAGAACAAATAGAAAAAAAAAGAAAGTTCATTTTGTTGGAGTTTGTAAATAATAACCAATACTGAAAAAATACGACGGAGGAATTTAAAAGATGATTCGGATCCCCCAGTGCATTGTGAACATTTTAATAACAAATTTATTTTAACTTATAAATAAATTTCTGTGCTTGCCCCTAAATGATTAAAGCGTTGACTAACATATCGAAATACATATACAATACATTTGATCGAAAATGATGTGCCAACACTTTTTTAAAAATTTGCTTCGTCAATTGAAAAACAATTAAAATTTGCCAACTATAAAGCAACATTTTTTTACTTAAAAGTGTCTTAGAGTTTTAAGTTCGTTTTTCATTGTCAGGAATTAACTCGTTCGGAATTCGCTTGTGCCAATGCCTGATAGTCAGATTTATTGTGATTGGTCAATTATCTGGGTTAAACCAGGTAGAGATTTTGTGTATAAACTAACTTTAAAGGTAAACGTTAATGCAACTACTCCTTTATAAAATGGCCCATTTCACATTGTAGTTTTTTGTTAGAAATATCAAATGATAATGCATTTTTTTACTTCGCAGAAATTAAATTTTATATTCCTACCAGCTAGCCCGGTCCGCGTTGCCGGCCCGTTCTTTTAGTCTTTAATGCGTATTTTTAAGGGATAATAAATAACAGATCTGACTTACGTCCAACTTCAAATTACGTAATATTGAACTTTATAAAATGGCTTATTTCACATTGTAGTTGTTTTTTGTTAGAAATATCGAATGATAATGCATTTTTTTACTTCGCAGAAATTAAATTTTATATTCTTACTAGCTGGCCCGGTCCGCGTTGCCGGCCCGTACTTTTAGTCTTTAATGCATATTTTTAAGGGATAATAAATAACAGATCTGACTTATGTAAGCGGCAAATTTTTTATTATAAGTAATGACTCCATAGTAATTTTTAAATAGATAAATATTCATGGCAAAAATTATAATAGATATTCACCACTTCGGCTTTTGGTATTTTGAATAGCCTGATCTTATTTTTCAGCCATAGGCTTTAGTTCGAGTTTTAAAAACCTATATTTTTCGTCATAGTATAATTCAATGACGATTAAAAAAATGTTTGGTCCCATGCTACTTTCCAATATTCGTATGTTTTTTCATAAATACATCCCAAATCTACGTTCCCAACCAATATTCTCTTGGGCGTTACAACAAATTCGATAGAATACAAAATTTGCTTTTAGACTACACATTGGTTGGGAAAGTGGACTTTGGTCTACACTAATGTGGGGACTATACTTAAAAAATGCCTATGTGGACGATTATGAAGGATGGTTCTCTACCCCAGAGTAGCTTAAGTACAATTTTTTAGCCAAACGATTTAGGTCAAGATTTAGATGGACCCTACTCTGAAAATTCAAAATTTCATGAGAAAATGTTTTCAACCCCCCTTTAAAACAAAATATCAAATAAGGGCAAAACAATTAAAAAAGTCGCCAAGACCCCAAAATAGCTTAAATCTTCTCAAATTACAAACATTTGCCGAAATTAGTATGAAAAATATAGTTAAAATGTAAAATATGCTTGAAATCGGGTTGTACCCCTATGCGGGGGTTATGACCCGCAAAAGGTCGGTATTTCACTGATTGCAGTCCCAATGAATTTTGCATTTTGAGTTCTCATTGGACGGATTATTGTCATGTGAACGAAGTAGGTCCACGTTTTAAATGAGTCCCATAACGCTTTGTCGATAATTTTTGTTTGTTTAACCGTGTTTGCATCTTCCAGCTGAAGCACGATGTAGGTCCTAGAGTTGAAAGCTAGATGCCAATTATAGGCATGAAAGACCGCTATTTAATATCGTATTGCGCACTCATTTAATGAAGAGAAACTCGAAAAATTTTTTTGATGTTTAGCGACTTTAAAAGAGTAATTATCCCTTAACTGTGGTGTGACCGCATTAAATAATTTCGACATCATATATTCAGTTTCGCTACCACATGATTCGGTACAACACTTCTGTGTAGCCCGCCTGCAACTGTTTTGTTAATAGCTTATCCTCTTCTGAAATGATTTCATTCGTATAGTTTCACTTTCCCAATAAATACATAAAATCTATAACAACCCGTTTTGTCCGTTGCCGCTTTTAACTCCCCAAAAAGACTACACATCATATAAGAATTAAAAAAAAAAAACACTACAAATGTACACTCGAAAATAGTAAGTCAAAATAAAAAAAAATCATGCAAAATAAAACATTACTATTGTACATTCCAAAAGTCAAAATGAAAATGTTAAATTTCACGTTTTTACGCGATTTTTTGGATTTTATCTTTTTCTGCCAAGATACAATTCCGAATTTGTCTGAATCGTTAAAAACAGATCAGCGGTTCTTGAGTTATAAGCGTAGTAACTAACACAACTTTATTTTATATATGTATATAGATTTTGTGATAGCATTTAGAAAATTCCGATTTCACAAATCGAATAGATTTCCATCACTGAGTGAACGATGTTTAATTTTATCAAGATTGCAAGTTTTTGTCACGAAAAATGTTTTAATAGAGTTTCCATAGAGTCATGAAACACTGGTTGTTTTCATTGTTCTCCAACACATTTTTCAGTAATCAAAATATGTGTATTTTCTCATATAAATGAAATGAAAAGAAAAACAGAGGTTTCAGTTCCGTGTCGATGTGAAAAACTTTATTTAAGCAATACCTTTAAGGACATAATTAGTTTCATGTAAAAATTTGAACGTAATTTTCATTTTGAACAAGCTTTCCAATTTACCAGATTAATTTGAATAACTTAAAAAATATAGATTGTGTATTAATAAAATGTAACTACATAACTCAAAATAATATTACATAAAACACTAATAATTTTAAGTTTATATATATTCAGGTCATTTTTTAATGACCATAAGAATGCCAGTGTCATCAGATAAATTTTCAATTTCGTAATAAACAGCTAAAAAAATAAAAGAAAATATTTGAATGTGTTCGTGGGTAAATCGTATGTGAACTTACACTTTTCAATAGCAACCATATCACCGGGACCAACAATTCTTTCCTTATCGTTAGCTGTGATTCTAAAGTTACCATCCAAAGTAACAAAATGCTTGATGGGGAACAAAATTTTTTTATTATATTTGACGCACCTTAAACAACGATATTCAACTTACCAAATGATATTTTTTGGCTCTTTTACGTGGCTTTATTTGTCGGGGTTTAAATCTAAGATAGCCTAAACTTGCTTTGTCCTCTGTATCGTAAAAAGCATATTCTACACCCTGCAATTCGGTAAAGCCAAGACTGGATGCGCTAGCTAGAGAATACGATTCACATAAACTTTAAACGAACTTATTATGGCGAGTAAGGCACTTACAAATTCGCATTTCTTTGAAAATATCATCAGTTCTTGGTATGGTCTCTGTTTCTGTTATGTTTTTAAGCCATGAAATTAACGCCAAATTTGAGCTATTAGTATCAGCACTTGATGTAACTGAGGCGGCTTCCCCGGAAGTAGCGTGAGCGTCATATCTTTCCACATTATTTTCCGTTAGTGCAGTGTTAGTAGTTGGCGGAGGCTTCAATGATTTCACTCGTGCCACACGCACTCGCAATTTCTTTTCTTTAATGGGTTTGTCTGGAACATCTTTTGCACTGTCTGAGGTTAAATCAGTACTATTATTTCGCAAGTTGTCGAATATGTTGTTAAAATGATCAATAGGCGGTGGATTAGATAATTTTAGTCGGCCACACTCCAACGATACGTCACTCAAATCTTTCTGTTTGTTGTCCAACAACATTTCTTTAGAACTCTTAGTTTTAGAACTTTTTACTTTTTTTACTTTCAATATTTTTGCATTATCCTTAGGAACCCTTTCGGTTCCGGAAAAGTTTGAATCTTTTTTAGTTGATTTCTTTTCAGCTTTTCGACTATTAGACAAGGACCCATTTGCCGCAGAAGCGTTTGTGCTGACATGTAGTTTTCTTTTTTCTCTTGTTTTCTCATGCGTACCAAGTACCTTTTGAAATAATAACTGAAACAATGGCTGTGGAGTTTTAAGTGGCACATGACCACGCTTCGATCTACGAAGGTTGGCTGTAAAACAATTAATAACGGAATATATTATATAAAAACTTTCTTCCTGATCACTTACAGTTACTTAAAGAGTCAGTACAATGTTCCTTGGAAGCGTCTGCAGATTCCGCAATCGCATCCGTCGTTTTAAAGTCGTCGCTAACAACAGATATCATGGATTTATTTTTCTTCTTGCGGCCTCGCCGTTGCTTTGGGGGTTCAGCTATGGGTTTTTTGAATATATCATCTTCATTCTTCTTCCCATCTAAAGGGTCTTCTGGAGGACTTTGCATTGGTGAGTTTCTATCGATAGTATCAATACCAGAATCCGACTCAAACTGTGGAGGTGGGGGTAGGTTCGTCACTGCTGATGCAATGTCTATATGTTGGCTTTGCTCCTCGGGTGGAGGCGGGGAAACCGCTTTATATAATGACAAATGATTTAAATCCGATCTTGGAGGGGAGGGCACAAATGGTAAAGTAATTTGTTTGACAGCATCGTTTGTGTCAGCCTGATTTTTCTCCAAAGAACTATCAAGTGTTTTGTCTTCCGAATCCGAGAAACCTCGCGTATAAAGTGGTCTTGGTTTTGACATCCTAATAGAGCTTTTCTTTTTCTGACTAATTCTACTAGGTATATTCAAATAGTGTTGCAGTACTTCAGGCTAAAAACAAAAAAAAAATAATTATTGAATATAACTCCCATTAATTTAACTCTTAGTTGGGCTTTTTTCATACTAAAATATTATATTTTAACTTTAGGCTATTACAGGCAGAACACATTTTGTCACTTTTAAATTACTACTTACCATTGATTCCTTACGTATTTGTTTTTGAGTTGATCTTGTCATCTGTAATTCAGAACATATATTGTATGTAATTTTAATTCTAATTAATTCGAATTTACTTACGAATGATACACGGTCACTGGATCTCTCATCAATTAAAGGAGAATTGTATTCTTCCATGTCCCTTTGTAAAGTAACATCTCGGAACTCATCTGGTGCCGGCAAACATTGATCTTTTGTAACCACTTCATTGACGCAAACATGTTGCACGCTTACATCTCTACTCCTGATGTGGGACTCACCATCCTCACCATCCTCACCACTCTCCTTCCTAGACAGTTCACGATTTCTTCTTTTAAGTTCCATTTCTATTTCATCGCCGAGTTGAAGCTGCTTTTTAATGATTTCCTGTTTAGCTCGAGATGATTTTCTTCCGTTAATGGCGAAAACTCTCCCCATGGAGTTACGTTTGCGCAAGTCAAGTATTTCATAATTGCTCATTCGTGCTAGTTCGAGGGCGAACCTCTCGCCATTTAAAGGAGTGCCGGGTGCTTTATTTAATGGTATCTGTTTCTTCCTGGAGCTGCGCTTGCGCTGTCCCATTTGATGATGAAGCGACAGAGGAGCCAATTCTGTTTCCGTCTCGGTACTGGCAATCTGCGAGTGTTCCATTTGAAGACGCCGCCTAGGTAGAGATTTTTTCCGCAGTCGTTTAGAGCGAGTATTACTATTTCCCGCAGCAAGGTTTAAGGGACCCTGACTATTATTCTCCATTGATTGTATCAGAATTGTCTTAGGAGCAGGCTCCTCATCATCCGTCATGATATCTGTCAGTTTTATGTCATCTGTACCGTCATTGATCTGTTGTTCACTTATTGGTTCTTTTTCTTTCGGCGGGGTTTTAAGGTATTCGGCTTCTTCTGTTCTTTTTTCTGTGGAATCTGCCAATCGTTGGGGAAGTGTGGTGTTAAATGTTTGATTAACGGGTATTATTACCATGTTTGATTTCGATTGAGCCCTTACGCAATTCTGAACTTCTATTGAGGCCTCTTGCGTTTCTGGAACCATCATACTTTCATTATTTGAAACGTTTGGAAAAGAAATATTAACATGTTGGGTATTTGGGACCTCTTCATCGATTGTGCCGTCATTTGATAAAACATTATCGGTTTTTCTAGAAGATATGATAGATATACGGCATTGGTCAGGTGAAGCGATTACAGATGGCGAACGAACACCATGTGATGCAACTGAACAATTATTCTTGACATTAAACTGATTGGATCCCTGTGGCGATCGTATAAACCTAGGGCTTTCCACCCTAATGGTGACATGCGACTGATTGGTAACGACATTTTCAGAAAAGGCATTTTTTTTAAGTGAACTACTATTTGTTGGTGTTAGTAGAGTAATATTCATAGCACTTCTGTTGTCGTTGGCAACAGAGCCTCTACTATGTGTCACGTGATGACTCCCAATGGGACTTATTTCCATAAGGCTGCCAGAAAGTCGAACATCTGGAAGGGTTACATTCGGACTAGCACGTGTGGTATTGTTGGGCAGAACAGATGCATTTGACAGCAAGCTTCGGCTGGACAATTTAGATTTGGAACATTTGTTTCTTAATTTGCACACGCTTTTGTTTCTCATAATGTTAGAGTGATCAAGACTACGTGGTGATACAAATGGACTTACTTCTGGCGTAAGTACAACTTGTCCAGGCTTTTCACCTTTTTCTAAAGTATATACCCTTTTAATAGGCGATTTCTCTATATACTCTCCAGCAGGTTTTACCGCCAGGGAGTTATTTTCGTCATCTCTTCCAGCAAATTGTTCTGTTGTTTTTAATGTTTTCTCTAAAATAGTTTCCAACATTTGTCTCAACTCGGTGTCTTTACATTGCATTGTTGTGAACAGCTTATCTGTTTCATTTTCATTAGCAATTGTGGTATTTTTATACCCCTCTGAATTGGGCGCAACATTTTCATCATTCTTAGATGTTTCCTTGCAATGAGAGGCTTCCTGCGATAATGGGGTGCTACATACGTCGGGAGCCTATAAGAAAGTGTATAATAAACATCTCACACATCAGTTAATATAAAATTTTTGGACAAAGCGTTCACTTACAAATGCTGAGTCAGAAACAGTATTCTCAAATTCTTGCAGTAACGTTCGACGTCCAAGTTTCGACCTTCTTTTCAGACTGTACCGTCGCAGATAATCACTTGGCGAATACCCACCACTCTTTCGAAGAGCTGCCGAGAACTTCGGACTCAGCGCTGTTGAAGGCCTTAATGGTGAAGATTGTCTCGATAAAGGCGAGTTGTTTGTTGTGGGCACAGCTGGCGGCGAACGCACATTAGTGGTATTAGCACATTCGCGTCTAGAAGCTAGGTATGATTTATTTTTATTAGTAGTCACGTCCCCATTGGTACACGCCTCATTACTATCGGCATTTATAGTATTATTTTCACTTCGCTCCCCGGCTTTGTTTTCTTCCTCGCGATTTGTTTCTTCTGCAGCTTTCTCTGTCTGTACGTCCACGCTCAAGCGAAATGGTTCATTGTTTACGAAAAGAAGATTCTGACTCTGTACACGACCACGCTTTTTCTGCAGGAACTCTGCCAGACGATATCCTTCGCTGTCGTCATTGTTGAAGTACTCCGACAGCTCTAAACTATCACTATTTCTGCACCTAGATAATTTCATAATTAAAATATTTTCATCAAAGGATACACAAGAAAAACACTGACGCCATCCGCAGTACGCAACCAATTTACAAACGACCAATTTTAAACTTATTTTGTTGGGTACAGGTTATCACTTACGGTACGGCCATGTATCCGCATATATTTATTTTTAATCGTTTTTTTATAATGTATTCCAAAAATTTTAGTACAGGCGCGCTTCGTTTTTTATAATTCGAATGAAATTTTTAAAAACTTTAAGAGTACAACGCTGAGAGCGTCAAATGACGCCGGCAACTTCTCCGATGGCCACGCCATCGATTGATTGTCATCAGGGTGGTTCACATTTTACAATTAACTAGATTTAAATTCTACAATGAAGGTACATTTATAGCGCATTTATACTATTGAAGATTAACCTTGTGTTACGCCCATGGCAGAAGAATACAGGTAGATGCATCAACGCTTGGGAGCATTGATATGTCAAAAAATTTAAATGTTTTTTCAAATATAAGTAGAATTTTATATACTTTCATATACTACGTACTACGTCATTCGGAGGCTATTATAATTCGCGTTTTTCAACAATTTGTACAAATTTCAATAATTTTTCATTCAACATTTTCAAAGTCAAAATAGGTTTGACAGTTCAATGTCCCAGCAGCTGTGTCGATGCGACTACCTGTATTCTTCTACCATGCGTCCTTAGAAAGTTATAATTGCCACTCAGCTGATGCATACGTAAAGCATCATGGTGGAAGAATACAGGTAGATGCTTCAACACTTGAGAACATTGATATGTCAACATTTTTAAAACGTTTTCTTATACGACGACAATCTAAGGTTGTTATGAAATGCCTTTTTCAACAATTTTAACGAATTTTAACATTTTTTCATTCAATATTTTTAATTTCAAAATTGATTTGACATCAAATTGTAAATTATTCTACCATGCGTATCCATAATGCGAATGCAAAAATATATATATAAAAATTATGTATCAAAAAAGTTAATTGCAAAAACTTGCAAACAATCAGCTGATTTGTCTTACATAAAAATAAAAAACCACCTACAAAGTTTGTAATTTATTAATGTTTAAAAAGAAAATAAGCTATGGCATATGGCAGAAATTTAGGAGATTTTACCAAAACTTTTCAATTGGTATGGCTTTTTCAACAATTTTGACGAATTTGAATAATTTATTAAAATTGGTTTGACAGCTTATGGTCCCAACAGTTGTGTCGATGCGACTACCTACCATAGTACATGTATACTTTTGGCATCACAGCGAGTCCTATTCGCATTCGAAAAATGTAATTTAATCAAAGTGTTGTTTGTTTGTAAAATTAAATATGCGATAAAAGTTCATCAATAAAATATTATTTTTTATAAAATAGAATATAATCAAATGAAATAAATAACATATGTGTGTTATAGCAACATTTTTTGTTGTCCTATGGCAATTTTGAAATACACACGGAAATACACATGCATAATAAGACAGCATATATCTAAAATCCATTCCGTGCCTTAAAAAAGGGAGATATTTTGCGAGACGTCCTTTAATAAAAGAGAGATTTATAGCATATAAACAAACATGAAATCCTACTGTTTATTATTACATAAAATGACATGAGAGCTTCGCAAAACTACAGAAATACAGCCCTGAGGCCATGCCCAATTCCTGTCAAATTAGCATGCAACATTTTTTTTATTCGATATTCTTCCATTTCATTTATTCGATATTAAATAGCGCGAAAAGTGAATTAAATGTCTAGATTTTCTTTCAAAAAGTATGATTTAAACAGGTTGATCTTTTAAATCCCTGGCAAAACTGGCGAATAGCCTTAATGCGCGTCCGCAATGCACGTTTCTTCCAATCATTAATTTTGTAAATATTTTGTTTTTTATTTTTCAAAACAACAAAATACTATGTCATTCCTAACAAACATGCCAACACTGTTCTACCAACATTTTTTATTCAAAACAATACACACACATACACAAACTGTGTAAAAATTTCGAAAGGTAGCTTTGTTCTGCCTTCTGTAATTGTGCCATCTAGCCAAAAAAAATATTTAGGACGTCGCCACAATGAATACAAGTTAAGTCATGGCTGTAGACCAATTTCATTTTTTATTTGGCTTATTCCAATAAACCATCGCCTATATAAGTAAGTCTATCTGACAACTAAGTTTGCTGTTTTCATTCGAAATTCGAAGTGTCTAATCACAATAGTGCAAAGTTCGTTGCCAAATTGTTGCTAAAAGTAGTCTTCTTGGCCGAACTTATATAGGCCTTAAAATAAACAAAACAACTTTTTGCATTTGTATTCATAAAGTTTGAAGTTACAGCCTTGTAATATAAATAGTTTTGTTGTTCGAATTTGGTTAACCTGCCCTACTTCGTATGTGATTACATCATGGTTGAATGAATGATGAAAGGTATTGATGAAATAAATCCGGAACCGACCCTTGAAAACAAAATGATGAAGGGCAATGATAAGTTGCTGCACCAGAGTACTGCTAAAAACGGTTGGCAATTCAGTAGAGGCAATCAACAACATTGTTATCAATGTTAATGAAGCTGAGGCTTTTTCTTGCCATTCAACTTGTAAATCTTTTAGAGAAGGGAGCGAAATAGATCCATAGTTCCTTCTGATAATCTGCATAGAATCACATTCGGAGTCGATTTATACATGTCCGTCCGTACGCATGTCCATGTATTTTTGTGGACAAAATTTAGTTCGCATTTATTGCCCGATCGAGATGAAATTTTGCACAACTCATTTGTATGGCCCAAGGACGAATCCTATTGAATTGGAGATAATCACTCAACTTTTAGATATACCTTCCGTATATGTCTTCTTTCGATTTGATTTTCATTGTGCACCAAATGTATGGTATTAGTCCAAATTGAATGGAATTCGGCACACACACGACCGAATTGAGCCTAAAAATAAGTATGGAAGTCGGTTTAGATATTGCTATAGCTTCCACATATATTGTTCATTTGATTTGATAAATGTGTCCTCACATATATATCTTTATAAATGAATTCAATCTGGCAGAAAGTGTATCAAATTTGGTGTAAATAGTTTAAGATATAGCTCCCATATGTATGTTTCATTCGATTTTGTATTTTTTAGTCCTCACATGCGTAAGTTCGGTTCAGATTTGGATATGGCTCCCTCATATATATCCTTATTCATAAAAAGTGTAATATCAGCTTAAATAGAATAGATGAATGATGAATATCGGTTCAGATTCATCGTTTTAGAGGGGGGTATAGGTACTTTCCCCATATTAGTCCCTTTCGGCTTTTAATTATAACTGCTTATAAACTCTCAAAAAAAAGAAAACGCTTGTTATGGGAAGCTCTGCTAAATATGCGAAGTTGTGCAGGGCATCACAAAACCGGCCCCGTCCGACTTTTCGCCTTTCTTTACAGATTTTCTGCTGGAGTTAAACAGTTTTAAATATTTACTAAAATTGAAAACAGATTTATTCATTTGAATAAATTCTACATACACTACAAATCCCGTTTCCAGTTCGAAGAAAAAACTGTTTCAGTTCCCTTTTCCATTTCGTTCCTGACTTTTAATTTTGAAGAGTGAGCATCGTGATTATGATGTTATATCCAGTATCGAGCCTTCCAAATTCGTCCGAAAATCTTCCCAGTTAGTACTTTTATATTAAGTGAATGTTGTTGGTGCATGTTAAGTTATTGAAGAACTGGACCGTTTAGGTCCAGTGATATACCTAAAAATATAATTTCTGCTTCGCTTATTCCTTATTTGCTTCACACGGATATATTCTCGAGTCTTTTTCAAGTTCAAGACTTATGTAAATGACATTCATTTGATAATATTGGTTATATCGGGTATCAATTGTATCATGGCTCCATGTCACATATACTAAAGTTGCCGTAAAATAAAGCGACTTGTACAGCTATATACAGCTACAGGTATCACAAGAACTTTCAATAACAACGGGTATCAGTTGAGAGTATGTCCTCAGTCTTCCAGTTAAAATTAATGTTTTCTGTGACCCCACAAGCCCTTGTGCTAATTTAGATTGAGGTTCAATTCTCTTAAGCGAAACATCATCATCAAATCATGCTCACTATGCCTAATGGGTCACGCACACAAACAAAGTTAAGATATGTATGTATTAGGTCACCCATTGAGACAAAAATGTGCAAAATCATCATTATCGCTTGGAGCAGACGGCTGGATTGTTTCCAATTTAAACAAATCAATCTTCGGCTAAGGCAACATTGAATGCCATTGAATTCCAACATTCATTTCTTATAATGATGACTGTATAAAATAAAAAGGTTAAGTAAGGTAAAACCACGCTGAAATATAAACCAAATTTGAAGGCACAAAAAGCTCCGACGTGACCTCTCGCTACACTACACGGGATATGTTATCGACATGCATCACATCAAATTTAGACACTCGTATTTCTAGAAAAGTATTTTCAGAGAACAGTGTGGCTTGTTTGTTCGGGATACCGTAGTATTTTGTTTTTGCAAAATGGTCTGGCTTTATCCCTTTATTGTTGTTTTTATAAAAACAACGTTTGTTTGTTAGTGGAGAACGATGGTAATGTTTACCAGGGGGTAAGGCAGGGAATACCTAGGTTTCGGAAAGAGCCACCAATCCTCATCAGTTCCCTTGTTTTTGCCTGGGATATTCTCCCCAGAAGTTATTTTAAAAATAACTTCTATGACAAAAAACATTTTTTACCCAAGTGACGAGATCGTAAGCTCAATAGAAGAGGAACCAAAGAATTAAATAAAACTAAAATTCTCTTGGAAAGTCTTCTAAATCTTACAACCGCACTTATAAACATTTACATCTTTCTCCACTTGTTATGCTTTCGTTCAGCCTGAACGAAGTAGCATAACCATGTAAGTTGGTTTTGTCTGCTACAACAAAAACCCCTTCGTCGACCGTGCCTTGTCTATTAATAGAACAGTGTGGCTTGTTTGTTCGGGATACCGTAGTATTTTGTTTTTGCAAAATGGTCTGGCTTTATAAGTGCGGTTGTAAGATTTAGAAGACTTTCCAAGAGAATTTTAGTTTTATTTAATTCTTTGGTTCCTCTTCTATTGAGCTTACGATCTCGTCACTTGGGTAAAAAATGTTTTTTGTCATAGAAGTTATTTTTAAAATAACTTCTGGGGAGAATATCCCAGGCAAAAACAAGGGAACTGATGAGGATTGGTGGCTCTTTCTGAAACCTAGGTATTCCCTGCCTTACCCCCTGGTAAACATTACCATCGTTCTCCACTAATAAACAAACGT